ACATTTGGCACGCTGAGGGGACCGGCGGGCTCTTTGTTGAATTTGTTATATGTATTGTGGGGTCACATTGTAATATTTAAAAAGTAAAACTGATGGATCGAGATAAGAGTGACCTCGAAGACATTTCTTGAGTCAGACGCCCTTCTCAGTCATCGAGCTCTCTCTCTCGTCGAAGCGCCGAAGTCGATAAGAGCTCTCCTCATCGAAACACTTGCGGAGTAGTATCGAGCCTCCCGAAGACCTCGTCGAGGTTGTCGTCAGCTCGTGTTATGTGTCGATGCCATGGTTGGTTTTCGACTTGCGATCAATCGACTTGCGGAAGGTAAGCGCTCTGTTCTTTCTCTTTCCGTCTCTCTGCTCTTCTCTCTCTCTCTTCTTGTGGGTCTGTTTTCGACTGAGGGAATGTTTTTTTTTTTTTATTTTTTATATCATTTATATATAATTTTGGTGAGTTATTTTAATTTTTCTGTTATTTATAAGGTTTAATATTGTTTTGTGTTATGATTTGATATTGTTTATCTTTATATTAATTTGATTATTGTAAAGATTTTTAATTTTTTTTTTTTTTTTTGTAATTATATGTTTATATATTCTAAAAAACTGTAGTTTTTAAAAAAAAATTATTAAAGTTTATTATTATATAGTATATATTATACAAGTATGTACTTTTTTTTTTTTTTTAATCTTCTCAATGTTATTGTTAATTAATTATTAGGAAAATGTCTTGCATATTATTTTGGATGTTGGGAATGTTGATCTTTTGCATTCTTAATTTATTGAATTAATGATAGCTCGTTAAGTATTGTGTTTGTTATTTGATGGAGAATGAATGTAATATGAAATCACAAACACATAGGACAATATATACAAATAAACTAGAATGACCGTGTCCCCGCCGTGTTCTGTCATTTTTGGAAATTACCTCATGTGTCCCGTGTCCGATAAGTCGTGTCGTGTCTGTATCCATGATCCGTCGTATCCAGGTGTCCGTGCTTCATAGAAGACATGATCAAAATATTTTTTTGGGTGTTGTGGTATTGTGAGTTCAATAAAAAAAAGGCTGAGCTAAGGGCTGACAGCTAGATCACCAGTAATTTGTGGGAGTAGGATTGGTATGTATTAACCCCAAACATATACTGGAGAGCTGTAAGGGTAGTGCCAGCCAGAGGAAGAAGACTAGTAAGAATCTGAGATCCATGAAATAAATTTTAGAACCATTATTGACACATCTTTTCTAAGAAAGAAATAGACAAACGGTAGATGCTTCCTTTTTTTTTTTTTTTTTAATTCTACTACATTGTGGATCAGTTTCCACTAGACTGCATATACTACATTTGCTGTACACAGTAAAAGATCACATTCTTGCTCAGGCATTCGCTATAAAGAAAGGTAGCAATACTATAGATAAACACTCACTCCTAAAAATGTTTAGAAATAACCAAAACAAGAGCAAATAAAAAAATACTTATTATTTGCCATTATAATCCAAGATTTGAGAAGTGAACAATAATAGCGAGTAGGATCCTTTACTTGGACAACAAATCTGCAGAGAGAAATACACTGCAGATGAGTGGGACTCCAATATTCATTTCATCTCTGGAGGTATCCTCCTGTGGTTAGAGAGATGGCCTTCCAATGCCTAGGCATTAGGTCCAAATAAGTTTATTGTGACCCAAGGATATACAGTAAGAATAAGGAACAGAGAGTAAAAGATTCCTGCCATTTTTGGAGCAATTGCAACGAAAACCATTCTGAGGAAGAATGAAAGCATAGATCAGCACAGCGGAGCTTAGAATCATCTTATTGTGTAAAAGTGAATGCATAGTTTGTTTTAAGACATGGATGCACGATACCTCTATGTTTGACTGTTCGTTCGCAAGGTAATAGCCAATTGGCTGGGCCATCCTAACAAAGAAAAACAAACCTAGACCACTGACAAGAGAGAAGTACTTATTAAACAAAATAAATCTGCCATGTATCCCTATTCATGTTTTACATTGAAATCATGCCTATGGCACGAACGTTGCAATCTGGGCCTTGGGTGTACTTGGAATCGATTAACGAAAATTGAATGCCCTTTCGTCAAAGGACTCGAATCCAGTGAAACGGAGATTCAGATTAGGGGATGGCTGTTCCCCTTACAGCTCAACATCATGTTTATAAAGCCGTGGCTTGCTACAGACATCATGTTGTTGATCAGGGCTCACCATTACTGGAACAATTCACAATGACTCTGAAACTGGCACAAGAAGAAATATCTGTGGTCGGACATAACATGGATCTTAAAATGTCAGACCCTCTTCCGGTAGAAAACTCACGAGAGATAGATAAACGAAAGAAACTCGACTCTAAAGTGTTATGGCGGAAACTGTACTAACTCTTGTTTTGATAGCATAATAAACAGTCATGGTGCTCGAGTCAAACAAATAATGGGAGCTTTACTCATTGATTTAGTCTCAGGGCACTCCAAACAGTATAAAACTTCAAACGACATGAGTTGCCAGAAAGGGAGGGACTTTTGAATTTCTGCTTGGGGACTTCCAGTTGGGTATACTAATGACATTCGAGATTAAGTGGCTAGAGGAAGTGATGAGCGGAGTATATTATTGCTTGCCCCACGATTTTGTTTTAGGGGCTCGATTGTAATAGCTCGCGTTTCAATGAGCACTCTGCAGTCAAAATAGTCCAGCCCCCAAAACCCAGATAAAGCTTAAGTTCATTATCACCAACATGCTCACACTATCATTCATTTAGTCTCTATAGAAACTAGATCATGAAAACCCTAAAGGGGATCATCCCCAAAATTCATCAGCGGTGGAAAACTATATTCATGAATGTAATGCTATATCCAGTTGTTGTAAAATATTTGCCTACATCACCGCAGAATGAATAGATATATGGTATACTAAAACCACGACGAATACTAAGAATCCTTAAGACTCAGTTCAACAACTATTTAAGATAGCAAATTGAAATATTAATAATGATGACTAACCAAAAAAAAGTAACTAAATCTATTAGCAGAGTAAGTAATAATCTTACAGGAGGTTGATAGTCCTATCAATAACAACCATTCATATTTGCCTATCCGGCTGAGCTTAATTCTTCTATTAGCAAAAGTGTTGCCATGAAATTTGAAACAAGTAGCAGAGTATTAAACCCTTATACCAATAAATTGCCTCAATAAATGCTTTAAGATGAGATAAAAAAGCAACTACCCTCATGCCGGTCCTGGTTCAAAGTTTCGCATTCATGAACCCCTGGGCTTAATATAGTTTGCAAATAGTAAAAATTTAGTCAGAAAAAAATTATTCATTATTTGTTTTTAAATATAAATTCTAATAATATGGCTAAAACTCATTTTTGGAACTGTTCTGTCTGAGATTTCTATGAATCCTGTGATCAGTATATTCTTCCTGGTCAAACCTCCCGTTTTTTCCAATATAACAATGCTTCTATTTTCTCAGTTCCTAAGATAATGAAGTGTGCTT